TAGCTGTCCTGATTATGTGATTGTATCTTGCTGACAACCTGAAGTATAGCCTTTTGACTTCCCTAAAAGAAAAAACAAAATGGTGGTTGTCTATGTTGCTTTAAATATGTATCATTCTTCATAGACCTCACACATCCTAAAAGGGTTCATGACTTCTCTTCCAAGTCTTTCATTCCAGGACATACATCTACAATTTTTCCAGTTCCAGTAGTCTTTCTAGACCACCTACATTTTAAAAATTCTGGTCTATTCTAGTTTCACTTCACTGTTTTTATTTGACACGATCAAATGTCATAAAACCTGCAAAAGTATCTTAAATTTGTTCGTAATTATTTACATAACACTATAGCGGCTAGGATTGTTTTCATCAAGAATGACTGCTAAAAAAAAGAGTTGTTGTGTTGTTATGTGCCCTCGAGTCGCCTGCTACTCATAGCGACCCTATGAAAAAAAAGAGTAAGACTCACTTTTTTCTACAATTTTTAGCTTCTGGAAGCTTTCCAGTACATCCCCATTTAGTATTCTGGGTAAAAAATCCCGTATTTGCATAACTTCAGTTGTCAGCCGTTCCAGGTCCTTCTTCCTGACTTTTACAAATTCTTCTTTAGTTCCCATGTGCTAAAAGAACAAACAGACCTTAGGATTATTTCCCTTTAGATGACTAAAGCCAGCAACCCAGTCAACTTGCTTCCTTTTCTCTTATTACCCATAATTATTTTTAAAAGTACGTCTTTCCTAAGGTATTCTTTACTACGCACCTCTCTTACATTTTGAGAGCTGAAGCCAAAACTTATTAATTAGAAGCTAGATATAGATAATTAAATTGTGCATATAACAGCTTTAGTACTCAAAGCTCCCCCCCCCCCAAAAAAAAGTCGGCAACTTTTCAGTAATCAGTCAGTCAGGGAAAATCACCTTTATTGGGCTTCTACAAGGGGTACCATGTCTTTACTACTCATCTCATTCAGCGTCCACATAACTGACCCAAGTTGTCCAGCAGAAAACTAAGACACAACACAGGAGACGGCTCCCGAGTAACACAATAAGGAACAGAGCCATGATTTAAATCAGCCCTGAACCTTAAGTCTCACTTTCTCATCATATGCGGTGGAAGTTGGCAATTAAGTAGCCTATCAAGGCCAGAATCTCTCTAAACTTTACACTAAGCCTACAACAAGGAATCAAGATAAGAACTGAGCTTTCGAATACCAAAAAGGGGAAAATCATCCACTAACTTTCTGATTTCCATCTTCACCTTAATTCTGCACCTCTAATCTACTGTTCATCCCTTCCTCTCTGCTGTCCTGTCCCGGGAGTCGCGTCTAAGGCAGAGATCCTCACGTGCCTCCCTAAGAGACAGTCACGTTAAGTCTGAGGCCCCCACGCTGCCCCGCCCACCCGTGCCTTCCGAGAAGAGCAGCATTCTTGGGGGGGGGGGGACCAGAGCTCCAAGTCCACGTGACGGCGACTCGTTTGTGGGGTCAGGGAGGCTGCGGCGTGGTGCATGAGAGCACACAGCGACAGGGAGGGGGAACACCCCAGGGGGTCGAGGCCTCGGCACTGACCCTGCACGCTTCCTCAGAATCGCTAGTTTCTCCCATGGCCGTTCTCGTTAGCTTCCGCGCCTGCGCGGTGCCCTCGCTGCAGTTCCTGGGAAAACGCGGGAACGTGCTTGATGGAGGGTCAGGTACGGACAGCCGCGTGGCTCAAACGTGAGCGCATTTTCGGACTGTGCTGAGTCTACAGCACCTGAGGTGAGTTCAGCGAGGCGTCCTTCAGCTCTTCTAGCTCCGTGGGAGTTTAAACCTTGTGAACCGCAAGGCAGAAGCGAAACGCAGGTGTAAACGTCTGGTAACAGAGGTGGAATAGTAAGCTGTACTAAGAAGTCACCGGGTTCCCTAGAAACTACCTGCATCCTTGCTCTATAAACCTTTCTGTTCTTAGGTGCCATTCAGTTGGTGCCAACTCACAATATTTATGTACAACAGAACTAAACCCTGCCCGATCCAATTCCCTCTTATAATCTCTGATGTGTTCAAAGCCATTGCTGCAATTTACCAGTAAATTATGTTATTCTTTGGCCCAAAGCTTTATAAGTTTCATTAAGGCAGTGTAATGAAATGTGCAGAGTACTGGAGTCTGAAAATCAAAAGAGCCGTACTTGCTCGGCATTTCTTAAGCTGAAGGAATTAAAGAACAAATTGAAGCCTCAAGTTGCAATACTTAAGGATGCTATGGGTAGAATAGTAAATGTCCCAAGAAGTATTAAAAGAAGATGAAAAGAGTATACAGAGTCACTGTACCAAAACTAATTTGCTGACACAGAAGAATTTCAAATGTGATCTAGAAGCAATGGTGATGAAGGAGGACATGCAGACTGCTGTGAAGGACTTGGCAAAAAAATAAAGCCCCAAGAATTGATGGAATACCAATTGATAAATTTCAACAAACAGATCCTTCCTTGAATGTGCTCACCAAGTTATGCCAAAAAATCTGGAGAACAACTACCTGGCCAACTGACTGGAAGAGATCCATATTTATTCCCATTCCAAAAAAGGTGACACAACAGTGTGAAAGTTATCATACAACATCACTCATGCCACATGCAAGCAAAATCCTGTTGAAGATTATCCAGAAATTACTGAAACAGTACATTGACAGAGAACTACCAGAAATACAAGGTGGGTTTAGAAGAGGTCGTGGCACTAGAAACATTATCGCCAATATCAGATGGATCTTGGCAGGAAGCAAAGAGTACTAGAGGGATATCTATCTGTATTTCATGGACCACAACAAATTGTAGTTAACCTTGAGAGGAATGGAAATCCCAGAACACTTTATTGTGTTTATGCAAAACCTATACTTGGACCAGGAAGCAGTCTTCAGGACAGAGCATGGGTCAAAATCAGGAAGGCAGTGCATCAGGGATGAGTTTTATCTCCATACCCTTTCAATCTATATGCAAAACAGATCATGAGGAATGTAACATCAGGATTGGAGGAAGACTTCAACATCCTATGTTATGCAGATGACACAACCTTCCGTGCTGAAACTTAGGCGGACCTGTAGCACTTGCTGCAGAAGGTCAAGGACTGTCATCTTCAATATGGCTTGAAACTTACCATCAAGAAGACAAAGATTCTCACCATGGAGCCAAATAGCAGCTCCATGATGGATGGGGAAGACATTGAGGCTGTTAACCGTTACAGCTTGCTCGGCTCTACAATCAACACTCTTGGCACCAGCAGTCAGGAAATCAAAAGACTAATTGCATTAGGAAAATCTGCGGTCAGGGACCTTTCCAGAATGCTGAGAAGCAATGACTAAGGTGCACCTGATCCAATCCATGGTCTTTGCAATTACTGGCCATGCATCAGAGAGCTTCATTATGACTGAGGATAACAGAAAAAGAGTTTCTTTGAGTTGTGGTTCTGGAGAAAAGTCCTGAGCATACCATAGATTATCAAGAAAACAAGTCTGTCTTGGAGAAGGTGGAACCAAGTTTTTCCTTGGAGGCCAGGATTTTGAAGCACTGTGTCACACAGTTTGGGCATTTGGCCAGGAAGGACTGATCCTTGCTCAGAAGGGTGGAGGGACAGCGTAGAAATGGAAGACTCAAGATGAGACGGATTAATACAGTAACTAGGGCAATGGCGGTAGGTGTGTCAGGACAGGGCAAGTTTAAGAGCTGTTGTACATAGGGTCATTATGAGTCTCAGGTGACTCGACTGCACATAATAACAGCAAAGTACTTCGAGGAAGTGGCTCTTCAGCAGTTGTATTTTGAAGACCTCATCTTCTGGCACTGTATCAGACATTGCTCCTCTGCTAGAGTTCAATCTCTGACAATAAGACTCTTTGGTAAATCCACTTATGGTGAACTTTATTTTGGGGTGTGGTAGAAGGGAACCTCTGCCTTGATTGGTGTACAACTCATAATGACCCTACAGAACAGAGCTGCCTCCTAGGGTTCCCTAGGCTGTCTACAGAAGCAGATAGAATCTCTACAGAATCTAGAATCTCTACAGAAGCTGCTACATCTTTCTCCTGCACCACAGATGGTAAGTTCCAGATCACTTTTTGGTTAGCAGCTGGGTACTTATTTCCACCAAATAACAAAGATTATCGTAATTTTGCAATATTTCACCTACTTCATTATTTTGCCCTATAACGAAATCCCAAAATAGGGTGTGTATGACCTATGGTTTTAAGATAGATCCAAGAGTATAATACAACTAAGATTCAGTTTTTCTGTGATCTTAACAAGCCGCTATTTTCCATGAGTGTGAGAATGTTTCTAGGCTGGCCAGCTGCTGTATAGGAGGATACCGTTAGCACAATAATGAAACCCCTGCAGCATAAAACATAGGTTAATTTCTAATGGAAATTGCAGAACCACGCAGCACAAAGGACAGTCTCTAACTTGGACCCCTGTCAGGAAGCCCACTACAGAGATAGTTGGAAGAATATCCTGGAAAGAAATTCCCAGAGATCACTAGCCTTTCCCAATCACTACCTAGTGTGACCCGAAGAGTTCAATACAATCAAGAAAGGACTCTATGGTGCCTGGGAATAGACGGACTATAGAGAAGACGGGATTTTTACTAAGTAGACTTAAAAGATTCTAGACCACTTAAGATTAGCCATACAACACTTCTTGGCCAAGATCAACCCCGGCTAACCGCAACAGTTCTGGTGCCTTTTAAGTTTTGCCGGCGAAAAGCCCGTGAAGGTGCGTAGACGCAAGCCAGCTCGGGTAGAAGCATTTAGCGTTGCTAGTGGGGCCTCTACAGCGCTCGCTGCTAAAACGCTCCGCAAGCCCGCGAACGCGCTTTTGTGACATCATCATACCGCGCGCGGGCCACGCCGCCGCACGCCAGCCATTCGCCCAGGCCGCCTCCGCCTTCTGCGCAGGCGCAGCCTGGGGAGCACTCGAGTGGCTTCGGCGGGCGGCAGAGGGTACTTGAAGCTGCGCGGCCGGGGATGCAACAGCGGGCGTGATGGCTCCTGCCATGCAGCCGGCTGAGATCCAGTTTGCCCAGCGGCTGGCGTCGAATGAAAAGGGGATCCGGGACCGGGCCGTGAAAAAGCTGCGCCAATACATCAGCGTGAAGACGCAGAGAGAGACAGGTGAGCGCCTGCGATTAGCGCGCTGCGCACATGGCGGGCCGGAGCCTGCTGTGACTCCCGGGAGAGCGGTGCAATACGGGAGTGCAGGACCCTTATCGGGGTGATGCGGGGCCCCCGAGAAAACACCCTGGAAGCGGCACTGGCAAGCAGGCGGACAGGGAGCGGGAAAGATGTCTCGTTTCCAGTTATAAGTAATGGTTCATGACATCCATGGCATGCTTCTGTGTGAACGGTTTCTTAGAGTGCTTAAAGCCTATTTTACAGTTGAAGAAACTAGGGCCAAGAGAGAAATTAAATAACTTGCTGTAAGCCATTCTCATTAAGTGCGGAAAAAGCCGTGAAACCCTGGCTTGTCAAGTTCCCGATCCTGCACTTAGTTGCACTCTTCAACTTTAATTGGTTCATGCTTTCATTTGGTCAACAGTTTTAGGAATTGAGGATACACGAGGAAAGCGTACCAGCGAAGAACTTCTGAAGTTGAGGGGAGCAGAAAAACAAATAGAACTTTGCTAAGTGTAGTGAAGGAAATACAAATCGGGTACTGTGATTTTTAAGAAAGGTAGGAGCTCTTCCACATACGCTGCTACAGAAAGGACTCTGGAGTAATATTCAGAGATCTGAAAAGACAAGCCAGTAGTGCTGAAGAACTGAGCCTACAAATGCTTAAGTACTTCTGCTCACAAACATGGTCAGTGGGAGAAAGAGAGGATGAGGGTGTCATGAGATGAAGCTGGAAATGCAGGCAGAGGCCAGATCATACAGAGCTTTTTAATTACTTGAGGTGCTGTTCTCGAGTGAAACGTGGGCCTGTGAACCCCGGAGTGGAAAGCATGATATGCCAACTAAGACACCCTGGTGGCAGTGTGGATTTGAGCACTGGTAAACTAACCAAAGGGTCATTGGTTTGACTCAAGAGAAAGATGGGGCCATCTACTTCCATAAAGATAGACAGCTTTGGAAACCAGAGTTGCTATTCCAAAGGCAGGCAGTTTGAATCCACAAGCTGCCTCTTGGGAAAAACATGCTGTCTCCTCCTGTGTGATTTACAGCCTCTGAAACCCGCTTGAGGATGAGCTGTTGATAGCAATGAGAGAAAGTAATGCGTTCAGAATCCACTTGAAGGAATATGTATTGTTTATGCCTTCACAAACATGTTTTCTTTTATTTTGGAGACACAGTGAACAAGGAAAAGGAAAGTAGTTTTATAGAAAAGACTTGAGATTCATGCCTTTGATTCTCTGGAGTTCTCACTGAAGGATTTCTCTCTCATAGTTTGATACCTGACAAGTGCTGGTTGTTCCTCTGTCCTGATTTTCCTCAATCCAGATTTTTAGTATGTGTAAAATGGATCTGCTTGCCAGGCCATTGGATGTCTCACAGGCCCTTGTGGCTCAAAAGCCTAAACTGGCCCATTTTTCTTTCCTCTGAAGCTGTTCTTATCTCTTGTTCTTCCTCCACCTCCTATGCTATCTTCATTTTGGTTGCTGGTTCCCACCAGAGTCCTTACCCACTGCACTGCTAGGGCTCCCTTCCATTAACCACACACAGACCTTCTATCTCATCAAGGGTTGCATACCTGCTTCTTAACTGATTATTTCATGTCCATATGTGTAACCATCATATCTGCCCTGCACACACCACAAGCTGTTTGTGGTTTCTTCGTGTGCAACACACCTCTACTCTTATCTATACTGTTTGCACAACAAAGAATCTAACACCTTTTCTTTTCCTAGCCTTCAGTGAAATATCACTTCCTCCAAAAGTCTTTCCTGATCAGAGTAGCTGAACATCTTATGATTCGGAAATACCAAATATGCCTCAGTTTGACTCATGGTAACTAACTTGCCACCAGGTTTCTAAGATTGTAAATTTTTTTTAATGTTTGGTATTTTGTTATAATTTTAATTTTACACTAGTTTATTTACAATAACATGGTAATCTTAATAGGAGTGGCCTGCTTTCTCTTTATGCTCTGGATGATTGGTGGGTGTAAACTCCTGATCTTTTAGTTAACACTTAAGTGCATAGCTGTTAATATGCCTTTCTCCTCATTTTGGGTCAAATACCCAGCACAGTTGGCATCCATACCACCTAGAATCACTTATGTTGTGCCTCTGTTCACCTTCATGTCCATAATAGGTTTGCTGGCCTTCAAAGAATAGCACCTCAAAGTGAATGCCATGGAAGCATTGATAAGAGAGTTATCATTGAGTCCAGTTTGACTGATGACAACACTTGTGTTTCAGACAAGTATGTTCCATAATAGTTTCAATGCCTGCAGATGCCATTATAGCAGACATTAAGGTTTGGAAATAAATCAACCTATTATTTGTATCTTCTTGGTAGATGCCTATTTTTCACATGTTGCATTGAGCCTTGTTGTTGTTATGTGCCGTCGAGTCGCCTGCGACTCATAGCGACCCCATGTACAACAGCTCTAAAACTCCGCTCTGTCCTGTGCCAATCGCACTGTCTCTGACACTCCCATCCCAATTATCCCAGTCACTGAATCAATCCACCTCATAGAGGGCCTTCCTCTCCTGCGCCGTCCCTCCACCCTCCCAAACATGATGTCCCTCTCTAACGACGTCTCTCCTCACAACATGCCCGAAGTAAGTTAGACGGAGCCTCAGAATCCTTGCCTCCAAGGAGCCACCCGGTTTAACCCTCTCCAGGACAAATCTATTTGTTTTCCTAGCAGTCCATGGTATTCTCAGTACTCTCCTCCAGCACCACAGCTCAAAGGCATCAGTTCTCCTTCTATCCTCCTTGGTCATTGTCCAACTCTCTGATGCATAACAGGTGATTGCGAAGACCGTGGCCTGTATCAGATGCACCTTACTCTCCAGAGAGACACCACTGCTCTTCAGCACTTTGGAGAGGTCCCTAACAGCAGACTTTTCCATGGCAATGCGCCTTTTAATTTCCTGGCTGCTGGTGCCAAGACTGTTGACTATGGAGCCAAGCAAACTAAAGCTGTGTACAATCTCAATCTCTTCACCATCCATCCTGATGCTGCCAATTGGTCCAGTGGTGAGAATCTTTGTCTTCTTGACATTGAGCCTCAATCCATATTGTAGGCTGCAGTCCTTGACACTCTGCAGCAGGTGCTTCAGGTCCTCTTCAGTTTCAGCAAGCAGGGTTGTGTCATCCGCATAACGCAGATTGTTGATAAATCGACCCCACATTTCTCCTCATAGAGCCCCGCCTCCCGGATAATCTGTTCTGCATATAGGTTGAAAAGGTATGGAGATAGGATGCATCCCTGGCGTACGCCCTTCCCAATTTTGAACCATGCAATGTTCCCTTGCTCTGTTCTGACGACTGCCTCCTGGTCCAAGTATAAGTTTCACATTAGAACAATCAAGTGTTCTGGGATTCCCATTCTTCTCAGAGTCAGCCACAGTTTGTTATGATCTACACAGTCAAATGCCTTTGCATAGTCAATGAAACACAGATAGACATTCCTCTGGTATTCCCTGCTTTCAGCCAAGATCCATCTAACATCAGCTACAATATCTCTAGTACCACGACCCCTTCTGAGACCAGCCTGGACTTCTGGTAGTTCTCTGTTGATGTGCTGTTCCAGTCGTTTTTGGATAATCTTCAGTAAAATCTTGCTTGCATGTGAAATCAGTGAAATTGTTCTGTAGTTTCCACATTCGGTTGGGTCGCCTTTCTTTGGGATAGGAACAAATATCGATCTCTTCCAGTCAGTTGGCCAAGTGGTCGTTCTCCAGATTTCTAGGCACAACTTGGTGAGCACGTTCAGGGCAGCATCTGTTAACTGAAATATGTCAATTGGTATACCATCTATTCCTGGAGCCTTATTTTTTGCCATGTCCTTCAAAGCAGCCTGAACTACTTCTTTCATCACATAGGCTCTTGTTCATATATTGTTTCATGAAATTCTTCTGTGTCTTCCAATTCTTTTCGATACAGTGACTCAGTATATTCCTTCCATCTTCTTTTAATACTTCCGGGATCATTTAGCGTTCTGCCGAAAGCATCCTTGATTATAGCAACTCGAGGTTTGAATTTGTTGAGCCTAGTAAAGGAAATCTGAACTTCTCTTACAATCCCTGTAGCTGTCTAGCAGCAAGAATTTTAATGCCGCTTCAAGTGACTGTCACTCTCGTGCATTCACATCATGTCGGGCACTCACAGTCATGGAATGAGCACTGTGTTGGACCTAAGCTTTTACCAGACCTGTTCATTCAGATATTCAGCACAACAGGGGGTGCTTGCTATGTGCACTGTCCGTTTCGGCACTCGATACAGCAGCAAGCAAAATCAGCAGCAATACAGAAATCCCTGTCTGGTTTTGATTCTACAACTTTCCTCTCCCCTACATTTGTTGTTGATCTTTGGTCCATTTCTGAACCAGTCCTGCTACCAAGAAAGGTTTGGCCTCCCCTTCACAACAGATGAGCTTAACCAGACCACTGTCGCCACTGTAGAGCACCCTAGCAGAGGTATAGTATGTGTAGCTGCTTGGCCAACATCTAGGCATGCCACCAGTATTTGAGCTTCATACACTATAAATCTTGCATCAATTTTAAGGTCATTGTTTATGCCTTTCTAGTTTCCTTTATGGAAGACTTTTTAAAACAAAGAACACAGCCTACAGTCACATTTTGCTAATTTCATGGCTGTGTATGTATATGTGTATATACATCTTTTTGAGAAAATCTTCAAATGCATGAAAAGTACATTCCTGACTCAGCTTTAACATTTGCCAATACAAGGCCTATTTTTCCAGCCTCTTGCTTATTCCTCCTCTCCATTGTGTCATTGTTTAACTATGAAAGCTGAGACCTTTTGCCCCTTAAACATCACAGTAACATTATCATATCTTTGACAAAAGTCCTTGAAGTCATGAGGTGCCAATTTGTTGCATTTTCTCTTGATTGTCTTTTATGATAAACCAGAAGTAAAATAAGACCCGCCATTACATTTGGCTACTGTCTCCTAAGCCTCAAATTTGAAGAGATCATGTCTTTTGTAAAAAATAAATAAATAAAAAAAATTCTTTGCAGTGTATTTGTTGAAGGGGCTGGGTCATCATCTGTCCTTCAGTTTTCCCCATTTAGTGTGTTCATGGGTTGCATTCCTGGTCTCATTTAGCATAATCTTTGCCTCCTGTGTTTCACTAAACTAGTACTGATCAATTTGACATGACCTGCTCAGGAGGGCTCTACTGGTTACCTTGCCAGTGACTTTGCCTACAACTTGAGAGGTCAGTTCTTCACACCTGCTTCAACCTGCTGAATTCCTGCATTTCATGTAGAATTTCCTGCTTTACTTCATAAGACCAATGAAAATGTTGGTGCGTGGATGAAATGCTGATTTAAACATGGAGAGGCCTTGAGAGTGAACTAATTTTATAAATGGCCTCCTAATAAGTCAATTTTTGGTGTTTGTGATGTTGTGTGCATTTGCTATTACTCAGATAATGAGTACACCAGCTTCCTGCCCAGAGTCTGGTGCTGCAATCCCAAAGGCACATGGTTTGAGGCCACTAACTGCTCCACAGGGGAAGGATGGGCAGTCTCCTCCTGTGCAATTAACTGCCCCTGAAAACCTGCTGGAGGGTCACCTAGTCAGTTCTGGGTCGGTTCCGCTTCTGTGGTACACAGCAACATAATCATTTGCATATGTGTACTTTGTAGTAACAAGGCAATAGGTTCTTCCAAATTTAAAAGTATTTGCAGTGAAGAAATGTATGTGGTATTGGTTTTGTGGTTGTTTTTTTATTATTATTATTATTGGTTTACTTAACAAATCTCGTATACATTATGTTTCACACTATTCATATTGTGTTTCATACAGTCATTCTCATGCATTTTGTTTAAAAAAATTAATCCTTGTTTTTACTGCTTATGTGGCAATTCTGAACTCAAAAAAGAAAATATGTAGGCTTTAACACTTCACTTTTTATATTATTTTGCCCTGTTAGGAGGCTTTAGCCAAGAAGAACTTTTGAAAATTTGGAAAGGACTCTTTTACTGCATGTGGGTACAAGATGAACCTCTCCTACAGGTAACATGAAATTCCTTTTGTTATGCTCCTGCTTATTTGACATGGATAGATAAAAGAGACTTGGTCCTTTTTTAATTATTGGTCCCCTGCTTTTGTTGTTAGGGACCATTGAGTTGATTCTGTCTCATAGCAGTGCTGTATACCAGGATAGAACTGCCCCATGGGGTTTCCTAGCCTGTGATCTTTATAGAAGCAAGCTGCTACATCTTTCTCCCATGGAGTGGCTAGTAGGTTTGAACTGCCAACCTTTCAGTTAGCAGCCTAACGTTTAACCACTATACCACCCCACCAGGACTTCTTCCGTCTCCTAATGTGAGTAAGCAAATAAATCTTGGCTTCTCTGATTGGTTTTTCTCACTTGTGGGCACTGAAAGTGATAAGAGCAATGTCAGAGCATTAAAGTACTAACCACAAAGGGAAAGATGTGCAAAAATTGTAGATTTATAATTTTTCTACAACTTTATGATTTCCATGGAAAGTTTTTATACTGCCTATCAAAATAGCACAAAAGAATAGTTACCTGCACTCCTGGAAGGGGAGGCCAAGGCTCCTATCCCCCCTATCACCCCACAGATTAGCCAGATAACCATGGGCAGAGCAGCCACGTACTAGATGTTGAGTTCTTTATAAGGTGAGCCACCAAGCCCTCAAAGATGACACTTCTAACTTAAAGCTAGCTGCGGACCTTAAGAATGGACTAAAATGTGTATAGACTGCCCGCTGTATCATGAATCCACTAAACATATAAGGAAATGTTTTTAAATAAAAATCTTGGTTATGCTGTCTTCCTTTACAAAAGTTAAAGGGTCACCCTTGAGGACACAATATAAATGCCTCAAGAGTTCTTGGGGTGATTTATGTTTTCTGGATTTTGATACACAGACACATAGTAAAGTCACAGGATAGGGTTTATTGCTCCTCCTCCACTGAACATATTTTGAGTAGGATAACAGAAGAAAATATTTTAAAGTAACATTTAAAAGCAACAAACTAACGGCGTTGGTGGAGGAAGAAAATAGATGAGAAACAGCATTTTGAAGTCTGGAGTTCCTATATTATAAGTAAGGAAAATTTGAGTCAAGGTGAAGTGCCAGCAATACAACAGACGATCCTTCTTTTCTGATAAAACCTCATAAAGAGAATTCCTTTGCTGGACATGCCCTATGGGAGGTTTCTCTGTGGCCCCAGATTCTTCCCATAGATGAGTGCTGCCATTTCCACAGTGTTGGGTCTTCTGATTGTGCTCTTTTGTAAGACAGAGCCACCTCAGAGGACCCAGTATAACCGTTGCTTCCTAACTGCCCTGCCTTCCCATGTAGCACTGACCATGCCAAGAGTTGTGTTTCGTGGAGCAAGAATCTCCATTGTCTTAACTGCAGGAAAGTAGGCCCTTTGTCCTGTGGATCTCTTGTTATTTAGATTAGTATAAAATGTTGCTTTAAATCTTAGTATATTTTAAAATGAGGAGTTGATAGCTGATTTACTTCTTCCATAGAGCATTTGAATTGACAGCCAGAGAGGGGATTTTTTTGTAACATGCATCTTAAACTCTGAAAGGCATATAAAGTAGATAGTTTGTTGGAATTAGTAATTTCACATTGGGTGACAGTCACACTTCATTTTTAAGTGGAAATGACACGGAAAACAAGGGACAGAGTTGCCACCATCAGGTGCAGGAGAACCCTGGCCACGGTGCTGTCATCTCATTGTTGCACCTAATAATCCCTGTGTTTTCCCCCCACCCACCCCTGCAGGAGGAACTAGCAAACACTATATCCCAGCTCGTCCATGTTGTTAACAACTCAGAGGCGCGTAAGTCTTGGCTTTTTCATGGTTTTCCAAACTTCCTTGGTCATCAGATTTGATACATTTTCTAGGAAACCTACTCAGTACTGTGTCTTCTTCCTTCAGCAGTTAGTGCTGGCTTAACATAATGAACCTAGTGCTCTTGTGAAGTCTCATACTTGACATCTTGATTGCTAGAAACTGCTTTAATAAATAATTCCTCCAGAACCTCAGAATTCTGTTTGACAGCTGTTTGAGACTACATGTAGTATAGCTTGTTTATACACGTGTTCACACTGCCTCAGGATGCCAGGTTATCTTCTCCAGAGGTAGAGCCATGTAAGGACATCATTAGTAGAGCTATAAAGAAGCCATTTTTCCCCCTCAAAAAAAGAATACATAAAGGCAAAAATTAAAAGATATGTCTGAGATGTTTATTTCTGATTATTTCCAGAGGTAGGACATAACTAGGAGATTTTGTTCTACTTACTGTTCCATAGAACAAAACTGTCACAGTAGTTTTAATCATTTTCATGGGTTGTCTTAATTTTTGCAAGGTTTCATTTGAGTAGTAATGAATAAAGTTCTGCATATAAAATATTTATACATTTGCAGATATCAAAAAAGAAGTAAATCCATTTTTTAAAACCTACAAACAAAAACATTTTGAAAGAAAAAGTTCTAGTCTTAAGAACTGTAGTCAACCCAGCTGATATATCAGACAGAAAGCCAAGTGCCTCTGTAGATCATATACATGTTCATCAAAATTAACCATATGTATTAACCATATACATAGGTATGTGTGTGGTGAAAGGGAAAGGTCAATAAACACCCTTTGGATCAAAAAGTGTCTTGATTTTAGTAGAAGCACAGCTTATAAGTTAAAAAAAAAGAACAACACAGAGCATTCTAAGTGAGCATGAAAATAATAACTGATACCCTATTTTTGTGATAATATGCTTTCATTTGAATGTAAAGGAAATGTTATGTATATTATTTACTGTAAATGATAAATAATAAATTTCTTTCCCTTAATTATTGTCTGGCTATATAGTAGCATGTTAGTGGGAAAACCAAGCCCTCAAAGATATTTTTTCACTGCAGAACACCTGTTCATTCAGACCTTTTGGCAAACCATGAATCGAGAATGGAAAGGGATTGACAAGCTACATCTGAACAAGTACTACACGGTAAGACTACAAGGGCTTTTTGTCCAACTTCAAAAATCTTTGTGATGAAAAAAATTTTCGGTGTTTTAGATACAGCAGAAAGATTGGCTTTTTTTTTCTATAATTATATTTTATTAATTTTCATAAACATTTACAGAGATTTTGGGTTTCCATTCATTCATTGTTGCACTATTCTCTCTACCCTCCTCCCAGTTTGTTCTTGTCCAAATGCCACAGTGCTTGTCAAAGCCAGTTCTGATTAATCTTCTTTGTCAGTGTGTCCTTTGCCATTCCCTATCACTCCTCCCTGAGAGAGACTTCACCTTGAGTCATAAGGAAAAGGGGATGGCGTATTCTCTTAGCTACTTCCCGCTGAAAAGGGACGCTGTGGGTTTCAGGGTGAAGATCTTCTCTCACTACTCTAAAGGGCCCCTTTGGCAGTAGGAGACACATAGACTATTATGGAGATTGATTTTGGAATTTAGATGCACTCTTATTGATTGTGCTTGGCCGTACATGTTCATATCCTTGAAAATGTATCATGGGGGTGTTGCAATCTAGAAGACACAAATTTGACTAACAAGTTATAAGTGCATGAGTCCAAAAATTATGGAAAAGTAAAAGAAAAGATTCTTTCATTGTTTTACAAACCCTCCCCCAGGTCCCCTCCACCATGTAGCCCTCGCTCTAGTCTCCTGTGATGACAGAAATACCTAGTTATATATCTCTTTTAAACAGTTTTCTCCCTCCTCTGTTTCAGTGCAGTATACATTATTGAACCCATCTTACTCAGTCTCTCCCCAACCCCAAGGACAGTCCCATTCTACAACAGTGGCATCATGTAATATTTGTCCTTTTGTGACTGGGATATTTCACTCAGCATAATGTTCTCCAGAGTCAACCATTTTGAATAATATTGCATGAGTTCCTTGTTTTTTAATGCAGCATAGTATTCCATTGTGCGAATATACCACAGCTTCTCTAGCCATTCATTTGTTGATGGGGAAAGATTGGCTTATGAAGCTATGCAAGTTCTAGGCATGTGAAAAGGGTACTTGATTATACACAGACCAGAAGCCTTCCGGTTTTAACTCCTTGACTATTGGAGGAGTGAGACTGGGTATCATTAAACCAAGAAACCAAACCAGACCCCATTTTTGTCAAGTTGATCTCACTTGGAGCAACTGTATATTGACTGTGTAGAAGTGCTGTGTCTTTCTCCACTGGAACAGCTGGTGGGTTCAAACCACCAACTTCCCATTGGCAGCCAAACACAAACTGGTGGTTGCTTGTTAACATTATTGATCTACAAGTTAAATATAATTGTTGTTGTTGTTATGTGCCATCGAATTGCTTGCAACTCTTAGCGACCCAACCCCAGTATAACAGCCTTAAACTCTGCTCTATATTGTGCCAATTGCACTGTCTCTGACACGCCCATCCCAGTTACCCCAGTGACTGAATCAATCCACCTTATAGAGGGCCTTCCCCTCCTGTGCCATCCTCCACCCTCCCAAGCATGATGTCCCTCTCCAAGGACCAGTCTCTCCTTACAACATGTCCAACATGTTAGACGGAGCCTCAAAATCCTTGCCTCCAAGGAGCTGCCCGGTTGAACCCTTTCCAGGACGAATCTGTTTGTTTTCCTAGCAGTCCATGGTACCCTTAATACTCTTCTCCAGCACCACAGCTCAAAGGCATCAATTCTCCTTCTATTCTCCCTTGGTCATTGTCCAACTTTCTGATGCATAACAAGTGATTGCAAAGACCATGGCCTGTATCAGATGCACCTTAGTCTCCAGAGAGACACCATTTCTCTTCAGTACTTTGGAGAGGTCCCTAACAGCAGACTTTCCCATGGCAATATGTTTTTTTATTTCCTGGCTACTGGTGCCATGAGTGTTGACTGTGGAGCCAAGCAAACTAAAGCTGTGAACAATCTCAATCTTCACCATCCATCCTGATGCTGCCAAGTGGTCCAGTGTAAATATAATTACTGTAGGTATTTTCACACTAGTAGGATTCAGTCTATAACAGCTTCTTTGCTTTCCTGGTTCCACTAAGCTATATGATACTTCATTCCCTCTTATAACAAAAGCCTTTTCGTTGCAGTTGATCCGTCTGGTCCTAAGGCAGTCCTTTGAAGTGCTGAAGCAAAATGCCTGGGAAGAAAGGTAGTAAACTTTGTGTTGGCATATGGCAATCTTGGAACTATTCAGTTAATGCTCCAGTAATACCATTTACCTGATCTAGGTCCCCCACTGTTGAGTACTGTAAGAAATAAAACCTATCTTTGCCCATTGGGAACTTGAAACCCAGTAAAGACATAAAATAGTGAAACACAGTTAACATTTTTTACTGATTTAAGTGGCTAGTTTTTCTCTTTGAACACCTTCTTGGCCTTCTTGTTGAGAATGTACATAGCAGAGCAGATACCATTTCAGCAGTTTCTATATGTTCAACTCATTGGCATTAACTACATTATCCAAATTGTTCACACTCTCTCCCTCCTTTTCTTCATTTTCTCTGCTATACCCTCAAACTCACTTCCCTATAGTTCCAGTTTAACCTTTGGAGTTTTTCTTGCCACTTTGATGTAATATAGATAGACCTTTAAAAGAGCCTAATACTTAAGCCAGCTATTCTTTCTCTCTTACTTGATTTCAAGAAGTCTTAAAATGATAATTTTGGTTTAAGGTTTAAAGAAGCAGTAATTTCAGAGTTTCATCCAGCTTCCACGGCTTAATCTCACATTTTTAATTTAACTTTTGTTTAATGTGTAACTCTGTACAGGACCTAGACTATTACTAGATTCTCTTGAAAAAAAGGGAAGTTTTGACACACTTAGGTTAACAGACTCTTATTTATTTTTCCTTTAGCCAAATCAAGCTTTTGCTAGACATCTTAATGAAGGAGATTTTGCATCCTGAGAGCCAGTCTCCAAATGAAGTGAAGTTCCACTTTGTTGATATTTACCTGGATGAACTAACCAAGGTGGGAGGGAAAGAGGTAAGAGGCCTTAACTATTAATCTTGATGCAACAAAACCACCAACAAC